TTGGTGGAGATACATCTTTCCCTGACGACATTGTGTCGGCTGCTATTGAGAGAATCGCAGCGCGTGGTATTACAGTTGTGGTTAGCACTGGCAATGCGGGTGATTTGGGACTGTGGTCTGCGGTGACACCGTCAACGAGTCATGGAGCGCTGGCGGTGGGTTCTATTGATGGGCATGTTTATCCGGCGCTGGTGTTCACGTCAAATGCGTTTCCAGGTGAGTTGTTGGAGCGAAGTAAGCAGCTGGGATCTGGTGACCTCAGCCACTCACAGTTGCCGCAGCAACCACAGCAACCACAGCAACAGCATCGTAGATCGTTTGATGCATTGTCGAACGTGGCATTGATTGCAGTTGAGGCAACTGGCAGTGGTGCCTCGTGTGGAACAAGTGTGCCATTGAGCTCAGTTGCTGGCAAAGCAGTTCTGCTCCGTTTCGATAGCGGCGACTGTCCGTTCCAGGCCCTTCAGTCTTTGCTCCAATCCCAGCCAGCAGCCATTCTTGTGTATTGGACATCTCCACTCAGTGCCGAGTTTGGCACCGGTGACTCTGCCATTCCTGTCGTCACGGTTCCATCAAGTGTTGGTACTCGTCTGCACACTGCTTTACAGCGCTCTCAGCAACAGCCAGTGACTGTCTCTGGCGTCAATGGTCCTCGCGTTGTTCCCAATCCGTACAGTGGCCAAGTTTCGTACTACTCTTCTCGCGGTCCCGCTCCGGATCTCCATTTTAAACCACAAATCATGGCACCAGGCGGCTACATCTTCTCCACAGTTCCCGTCCAAAATGGCACGTACCGGGTCCTCTCTGGGTCCAGCATGTCTGCTCCGTACATCGCTGGCGTTGCTGCGCTATTGATAGAGCAGCGTGGTAAGCTGACTCCCGTCCAGATCCGTGAAGCCATTCAAGCCACAGCTCGAAGTGAGATTCCGCACACTAACAACACGTTTACGAATCTTCAGAATCCAGCTGTGATGGGTGCAGGAGTTGTTAATGTCAATGCACTGTTGAGCTCGGTTGTAACCCTGACGCCAACTCAATTGTCATTGAATGATACAAACCCAGCTAGGTTTAATGGTGCTCATACTCGCACATTGCAGTTCTCGAATCCAAGTGATCAGCCTCTTACATTTGCACTCTCTCATCATCCATCCGCTGCGGCCACTCGATACGACGCCAACCAGCGAACCAAGCATGCAATCGCATACACTGACTCTCCGGCCACTGTCACACTATCTCCAGATCGTATCACTATTCCAGCTCGCTCAACTCGCTCTGTACAAGTCTCAATTGTTCCACCACGTTTACCTCAGCAATATTACTACATTTACGGTGGTGTCATTCGCGCTACTCCAGTTTCTTCATCCAGCGCATCAGACGCTATTGCATCATCTCATCCAATTCTCCAAAGCGTGTACATGGGCATGGCTGCAGACATCATGACGATGCCGCTCATCGTTTTTGACAACCCTGCTTCCTCATGGAGCAATCTCACCACCTTTGCCGCCATTCCCGAGTCTGCCAATCCGGTTGTTGATCCAGGCACCAATAACGTCGCTTCATTTGCAAGTCGCATTGACTACTCCACTCGTTTAGCCACCGCTTACTACGAGTCTTCCAGTGGCACTCTATACAAGTATCTCGAGTATCTCGAGCACGTAGCAGCGATGCCACCAGTTGAGAGTGCGCAGGATCCACTGATGGCGTTTGGCGCAACGACAGGTGATTTTGTGTGCCCCGCCGCCACGATTAACCCGGCGAACAGATGTGAAGCGTCGAAAGGATCAAAGATTCCAAACGGTGTTTATCGACTGGTACTGGCGGCGCAGAGACCATTTGGAAACCCAGCAAATGAATCTGGATTCCACATTGTCAAGTCACCGTGGTACACTTTGCGTTCTACTCGCACATAATGACCTAAACAAATAAACAGAAATAAAGACAGTTTTAATGATTCGGTTTCTAGTTAGCTCGTTTGTACTGGTTTACTTCGTTAGTGTATATGAATGGACTCGGTTTGAAGTTGACGGTGAAGTGCAATTATTGATTCAACGAACAAAGTGGCTCTCTCGCATCAACAAAACTTGATCAGATTCCAACAAGGGGTAATAGCGCAGTGGTAGCGCGTCTGCTTTGCATGTAGAAGGGCCTGGGTTCAATCCCCAGTTACTCCATTACTTTTCATCCTTTTCGTATTTCATTGTGTGTTTAGTGATATCACGCATGAACATTGTTACTGCTGCTTCTGCTGCTGCTGTTCTATGGATTGGCCAATGCGTCGCTTGTTCTCAGTTTCCGTGTCTCCACAATATTTTTTATTACCACACTTTTGACGAATACTCATGAGATGAGCGAGATCACAAACAGCTCGCCGTCACCATCTTC